GGGTGGGTGGGTTGGACTCTGTTCCTACTGTCTCATGGGATCGATCCCAGTCTGGGCAGTGCTGGGGTGGAGGAGCACGAGCTGTGGGTTGTGCAACAGGGCTGACACTGCACTCAGTGACCACAGCCACCCCCATGCTGCCTCTGTGTGCTCCTGGTGGAGATTTGGGCTGGCCCCGTGCTCCGTGCCCCATGCCTCATGCTCGCTGCATTCCTGTCCTGCTAAGAGAGATACTTGGGAAGTGTTTGGAAATTGCCAGCAGGAGCATCCAGGAGGAGCAGAGCTCTCATCAGCAGTGCCAGCGTTGGACTGAGCTCAGGTTGGGATGAAGCAGTGCCCCTCAGGCAAGCTGTGTTTACTTTTGTAAATGAACTGGAGACTATCTATCAATTCAGTAATTAAATATTGCTGATTTGTAAAGATGTGAGCTGGATATGTTGGGACATTTCTTGCTGACCACAGTTTCTGCTGCTGTTCCGCCACAGGGGCGTCTGCAGATCCTCATCCTTTTATTAAGCACCAACAAATTGACCTCAAATTTTCCAGGCCACACCTACATCTTTTGGGGAGGCTGCACTTAATGACACTCATTTCTGGGAATGGTTTAAAGAAAAATGCAGCTTTAGATCACATGGGGCTTCTCATAGAAACATAGAAACTGTTTCTGTGGTTGCTTGTAACACTTTTAACAAATGGCATTTCCTCACTTCTGAGAGTGCTGTGCCGGTTCCGCGGCTGTTCTGGGGGTGGTTTTTACCCGTTCCCAGCACAGGTGCCAAGGTCAGGGGTTTGACTCAGGGGTTTTGGTTGGGTTTCGGTCAGAGCTGCTGTTGGAGCCCAGCTGGTGGTGACGCCCTGCACAGCATCAGGAAGGAAGTCACAAACAAGTGCGTCTGTGTGTCCGTCCGTGTGTCTGGGCCTGGGCAGGATCTGGAGCCGTTTCCGGAGCAGGGTGAGTTGGGTGGGCTGTTGGACCACCTCTGTCCCTGCACCTCAGCACTCGGGGCACTGCAGAAGCACATCCAGGGATGCAACTGCTGCTGCGTGGAGCTGCAGCCTGGTCTGGAGCTGGAATCCTGTAGTCCATGGAGGCCAGGCTGAGCAGGAAGCCTCGCAGGGAAGCGCCTGCACTGCGGATAAGCCCTTGTAGAGTTCCTGCTGGGTGGAGTTTCCCTCTGGTTTCTCTTTAGTGCTGAGGTGGAGGGGCCGGTGACACTCGATGGCACGAGAGGAGACTGGAATAGCCATTAGTGTCACTACTGGAAATGTTCTCAGGAACTTCCTGCAAGGCCAGGACCTGCTGCACAGCCAGGGGGAGCTGACTGGGAATGTCCCAGCAGCAGTGACCCCAAGATGGTCCCATGTCCATGCTGTGATCCTGGGAGCAGAGTGACATCTGGTGATCCGCCAGCTCCTGGCCCCTCGGGGTGCTCTGCTGCAGCTCCGTGTCCCAGACTGTCCCCAGGATGCTCTGTGCTTGCAGGATGGCTCCAGCCAAGGCTGCTGTGCTCCCTGGCATGGAGCAGTCCTTGTGGGAAACCTGGAGTCCAGAGGTTTGGTTCCCAGCCTGGAGGGATTTCCACGTTGTGCAGGGCTAGTGCTACTGCCTTGGCAGGTGGTGAGGCTGGAGAGAGCTTTGTTCTTGGGGCTGGAGCCAGGAGGTCCTGCCAGGTCTGCAGGTCCTCTGGGCTCTGTCTCCTTTCACTGTCACTGATTTGGGGGCTCTGGTCATAGTCTGACGTGTGCCTGATTTCAGCATTTGCAGCAGGCGAGTCTGGAGCTGCTTCCTCTGGTCAAGGCTGTTGTGCTGGCCAGTGTGTGCTGGAATTGTGCCCAGCTGGATTGTCATCCCCTGGGCTTTCAACATCCAGGCTGCTAGGGTCCCCCTGAGGCCTCTCTCCTTTCCAGGAGGCTGCATTTCCTAAAAGAGCAGCTGCCCTACTGCTTCCCTCTGTGTGTCCTGGCTTGGCTGTGCTCTGTGAACAGTGCTGGTGTCTCAGGGCAGGTGTGCCAAGTCCAGCTGCCAGTGCTGACCATGAGCTGGGGCCACCAGCTCCAGCAGGAACACCTTTCCCTGGGGCTCAGAGGAGGCTGTGGGGAGGAGGGGAAGGTGCTGAAGAAGGGAGTGGATGTGTGTGCTAAATGAACAAATCAACACTGTGGCTTCTCTTCCCCATCAGGTGTTTTGGTGGCCACAGGTTCAGCATGAAGCTCAACTAGAAGCACCATGACCGTACGGGGAAAAGGTAAGAGCAAGCTGCTGGATGTGTGATTCCCCTGGGAGACAGGCTGGCTGCTGCACATCTGTCTCATGAGGTTGCACATCTGTCCACACCACCACTGGTGCCCCATTGATCCTGTGTTGCTTTCACAAGCTGGCACAACACAGTGTCAGCCTTCTTCATGCTCAAGTCCCGTCAGCATGGGAATATGGAGGACTTGCTGCCTGTAGGACCTCTTGTCACTCTGCTATCATGTCCCCACTGGTCCCCATCCTGCCCCACACTCTGGGTGCCAGCCTTACAAGGCTGATTTTAGTGCTCTGCCTAGGGGTAGGGTTAGGGTTACACCTAGGGTTAGGGTCTTAAAAACCATAGAGCCCAGAGCTCCTGGCACACTGCAGCTGCAAAAGGCATCCCAAAGAGAACACAAAACTGCCACAACATGCCTTCCTCCACAGCTTCTTCTTTGGAACCAGCCTTAGCCCCCTGATGCTGGCCAGGGACATAGCCCCTGCCCTCGTGTGACATCCCTGTACTGCCATGTCCAAGCTGTACTCAGGGGTTTCAGCCCTGGATTGCTGCTGGTGCTTTGCTTTCTGCTCCCATGTCATCATTCCCTGCCAGAGTAGCCTCTGAGAGCTCCCTAATCCTGCTCAAGTGGGAAGCTCTCAGAGCCAGCTTTTGGGCATTTGAAAGGGTGTTGTCTCTGGAACCTAATTACACCCTGATTCCAGCACAATGTCTGCTGGGGAGGAAATGACCCATCCATCTTCCCTCACAGACTAATGAGGCCCATAAATTTTAGGAAATTCTCAGTGGAGAATCTCACAAAAGAGCTGAGGACCAGCTCTGTCTCATTGTGCCATCTACACGTCCGTATTTGCCTTGAAGTTTCACCTTGTCTCAAATGAAGTCTTTCTCTTGGGAGTACATACCCTCTAACACTGCACTTTATTAGCTTCAAAAAGTGCTTCAAAAAGAAACCTCAGGACTTAAGAACTCATTGATGTTCTGTTGCAACATTTATTTAAACAGGCAATTTGGCTAAGATGGCCTAAACAGACAGGGAACAAATCCTATGGTTAAGTCTATGACAACAACAAAAACAAAATTCTGTCCCAGATCACAGCAAGAGCTCTGAGCAGCATTTCTCCCTTACATGGGAGTGTTTTAATTATGCAGCTGGAAATTAAAATTCTATAAACTGCTGGTTTTATTCGAACAGCAGCCCTTTATCACATCTGGGCACTGTTCACCGAAGAGCTTACTCTAAAAACAAGGGAACAAAAGCAGAGGAAAAGCAGAAAACTGAAGCCCAGCACAAGTCACTGACCCAAGAGTGCAGGCACGCCTGTGGCATGACCAGCAGTGAACACAAACTCTCTGGGGCACTGCCTCAGACAGCAAAGAACTCCCCCAGGCACTAGGTAGATAGACAACAACTATCACACTCTGTATCCAAAAAATCACAGCAACAAACAGAACCTTTTAATCACGTTTCCAGAAAGCTAACACTGCCCAGGCAGCAGCCAGAGCCCAGCCTGAACGGGCACCGGCCTTCCCAGTTCTCAATGCCAATCATTCACAGTCATTGTGAGGGGTGAGCGTGAGTGTGCGCGGGTGTGAGCAGGTGTGCGAGAGTGTGAGCAGGTGTGCGAGAGTGTGAACGAGTGTGCACAAGTGTGAGCAGGTGTGCAAGGGTGTGAGCGGGTGTGAGCGGGTGTGCGTGAGTGTGACCGAGTGTGAGCGGGTGTGCACGAGTGTGAGCGGGTGTGCAAGAGTGTGCACAAGTGTGAGCGGGTGTGCATGAGTGTGAACGAGTGTGCACAAGTGTGAGCGGGTGTGCGCGGGTGTGCGAGAGTGTGCACAAGTGTGAGCGGGTGTGCAAGGGTGTGAGCGGGTGTGCGAGAGTGTGAGCGGGTGTGCGCGAGTGTGCGTGGGTGTGAGCGGGTGTGCATGAGTGTGAGCGGGTGTGCGAGAGTGTGCGCAAGTGTGAGTGTGCGTACAAGGGTGTGAGCAGGTGTGCGCGAGTGTGAGCGGGAGTGCAAGGGTGTGAGCGGGTGTGCGCGAGTGTGATCGGGTGTGCACGAGTGTGCGTGGGTGTGATCGGGTGTGCACGAGTGTGAGTGGGTGTGCAAGGGTGTGAGCGGGTGTGTGGAGTGTGAACGAGTGTGAACGAGTGTGAGCAGGTGTGCGAGAGTGTGAGCGAGTGTGAGTGAGTGTGACCCAGCCACGCTCTGGGTGTTGCTCAGCCCTCCCAGCCCATTGGGCTGATCCCAGGTGATCCCATGGACAGGTCTGTCCCATTCCAGCCCTATGGGGCCCAGGGAGGCACTGCCGTGCACGGGGGTGATCCCAGGTGATCCCATGGACAGGTCTGTCCCATTCCAGCCCTATGGGGCCCAGGCAATGCCGTGTAGGGGGTGATCCCAGGTGATCCCATGGACAGGTCTGTCCCATTCCGGCCCTATGGGGCCCAGGGAGGCACTGCTGTGCACGGGGGTGATCCCAGGTGATCCCATGGACAGGTCTGTCCCATTCCGGCCCTCCCAGGCCCAGGCGCTGCCGTGCAGGGGCAGAGCCAGAGTTCAGAGCTTAGCAGTGGACAGAGGCCCTGCTCCTCTGGGCCCCTGCCTTTCCCACTCCCCACACAGAGTGACAGCTTCCCATGTTGGTGGCGTTGGGTAGGAGCACTGAGGGTTCAGTCCCCAGGGACTTCCAGAATCCCAGGATCATTCAGGTTGGAAAAGCCCTCCCAGACCATCCAGCTAGAGTCCAACCTGTGCCCGGTCCCCACCTTGTCACCAGCTCAGAGCACTGAGTGCCACATCCAAGTGTTCCATGGACACCTCCAGGCATGGGGACTCCACCACCTGCCTGGGCAGCCCCTCTCAAGGCCTGACCTCTGTCTCCATGAGGAAATTCCCCCTGATGCCCGACCTGAACCTCCCCTGGCACAGCTGGCAGCCCCATCGAACACAATATGAGAGTCCCTTTGTTCCCTCTGGAGCTGCTGGAGCATCTCGGTGGGAACTGCTCCCTGTCAGCTGGTTCTCCTGGAGAACAGAGCACTTCTGTGCTCCAGCCTCCTTTCATGATTAGCCTTTGCTGCTAATTAGCCTGTCTTGGTCTGCATTGCCCTAATTATTCCAGTTGGCTCTAAATCCTGCCTGCTCCTCTGCCATCCATTGAAATGGGTCTTGTGGCATTTGCAATTATTTTGGGGTGAATATTTGAATATATTTACATGACAGAAACAGATGAAGAGAGCAGGAAGGAGCAGCACTTGTCTTGTTAATGGCCCTGACTCTGCTTGGTGCTGCAAAAATGCCAGAGCTGTTGGATGTCCCTCTGATCTACATCCCAACAAATCCACCCCCTTTATCCATACTTGGGGATGCAGTTGAGGCTGTTTAGCTTCAGGTTTGTTACCAAGCAGCTGGTCAGGGTGGACCAGGGAGTAAAGAGCCACAAAAATACTTTTGGTGGTGATGTTGCTGTGCTGTTGGGTTGTGGGAGAGCGTCCCTGGGCTGGCAGAGAGGCACTGCCTGGGCAGGAGTGGATACAAGCCAGTGGGTGGAGTCCAGGATGGTGGAGTGGGATGTCAGGGACTGGAAGGGGGGAGCAGAGCGAGTCCCTGAGTGCCTGGCAGGAGGAGCAGGAAAGCTGCCCAGCTCCAGGCTCTCTCCTGCCTGCTCCCTGCTCCGCATGGGCTGCTGCACAATGTATTCCTTCGCCGTGGGGGGAAACTCTTTTCTGGAGCAGCTCTTTGGCCTGTCAGCAAAACAGAATCCATGGACGGCCCGTTCCTTCCACTCCATTCAGCTCTTGCCCCAGCCACATAATCACAAAGAACTGGAAATCCTGGGGTGAGCCCAGGGGAAGATTGCAAAACCTGCACTCGCAACTGGGGCGGACGGGGGGGAGGGAGCGGGAAGCGGTGCCAGCATTCCCGGGAGTCCCTCCGGGCACGCAGCTGAGCTGGGCACTTGCAGAGGCTGCAGCCTTCCTGCTGGATGTCCTGCCGAGCCGTGGAAAACCCCAAAAAGTCTCGGTGCCAGATGAAGTTTCACGGATTTCTCTGTCAGGTCAGTTCCCGAGGCAGGGCAGGGTGGTGAACGCTGCGTGTGGCTGTTCACTCTCAGATGGTTGAATCTTTCAGTGTTTCATTCTAATGGTTTCTCCTGACTCAGACCGTTAAAGCTGGCATGAGAGGCTTTTGTTTTTCTCTTATTTTAGCTTCCCCTTCCCCTGTGACCATAGGGTTAAACTAAACAAAATGTAGGGAGGATGCAGGTGGCTAGGAGGTGAGCAGTGCTGGAATGCTGACTTGGGTTTGGGAGGAATAACCTCAGCTTGGGTCTGGGCTTCATCTGGGATGGAGCAGGCTCTCTGTAAAGATTTTAAGAAGTCTCTGAATATACAGTGCTCCTCCTCTCCAAAACATTCCTGGAGCTTTGCTCCAGCTGTAAACCTGTGTTTCTGGGAGCACAATGCAGAAATTCTCTCTTTGGGTGTGCACTGAGGCAGACTTTAATTACCTGCTGGGTGTAGGGCACCAAGCCTGGGAGGTGCTGATAAATGAAAGAGGTGCTGATAAGTGAAGGAGGTGATGAAATCTGGGATGGTGTCAGCATCTCATTGCTGCTGTGACAGTGCTGTTCTCTTGCAGATGCCCGTGGGGTTGGACACTCGCTAGCAGAGAGCTGAAGCCCCCAGCCTGTGCCCAGGAGAGCAGGATGCGGGTCACCACGCGCAGGGTGCTGCTGCTGCTGGGCTCGGTGGCAGCCCTGATGGTGACCCTGCACCTCGGGCAGCAGGTCCTGGAGTGCCAGCAGGTCCTGAGCGAGAGGAGGCACAGGCTGATGAGGCCGGAGAATGAGGAGCTGGTGATGGTGGATGCCAACCACGTGGAGTACCGGTACAGCAAGGACATGCCCCTGATCTTCATCGGCGGCGTCCCCCGCAGCGGCACCACGCTGATGAGGGCCATGCTGGACGCCCACCCCGAGGTGCGCTGCGGGGAGGAGACGCGCATCATCCCCCGCGTGCTGGCCATGCGCCAGGCCTGGTCCAAGTCCGGCCGCGAGAAGATGCGGCTGGACGAGGCGGGGGTGACGGACCAGGTGCTGGACGCGGCCATGCAGGCCTTCATCCTGGAGGTGATCGCCAAGCACGGCGAGCCAGCCAGGTACCTGTGCAACAAGGACCCCTTCACGCTCAAGTCCTCCGTGTACCTGTCCCGGCTGTTCCCCAACTCCAAGTTCCTGCTGATGGTGCGGGACGGGCGCGCCTCGGTGCACTCCATGATCACGCGCAAGGTGACCATCGCCGGCTTCGACCTGAACAGCTACCGGGACTGCCTGACCAAGTGGAACAAGGCCATCGAGGTGATGTATTCCCAGTGCCTGGAGATCGGCCGCGCCCGCTGCCTGCCCGTCTACTACGAGCAGCTGGTGCTGCACCCCGAGCAGTCCATGCACAACATCATGAGGTTCCTGGACATCTCCTGGAGCGACACGGTGCTGCACCACGAGGAGCTCATCGGGAAACCCGGTGGGGTGTCCCTTTCCAAGTGAGTCTCGGCTCTTTCCTCAACTTTTCATTGCACAAAGCAGGCTACAATGGGACAGAGCCCCGCTGCTGGTGTTTGTGTGTGGTTTTAGGGGAGGAGGGACAGCACATTGTACTGCAGTGGGGTTTGTGTTCCTGAGTAAGAGATGGCTTTAATGCTCCCAGTCTGTTGTACTCCACAGAACAGCTTGTCAAGCAAGGATTTCAGGAGCAGGTGACTGTTTAATCTCTCTTGACACTGCAGAAATTATTTCAGTCTCTAATTTGCAAAGAACTGCTTGCTCTGAAAAGTGAGCTCTTTAATGTCTCTTTCTCCACCCGTCCTCAGATGCCTCCTTGATGTGATTAGTTGTGCTGCTAATGATGATGAGCTGCAGTTCTTGCCAGGTTTGGGGTTGGTATTGCAGAATAAAAGTAATACCTACTCAGTGGAGGCACACCCAGCACTCCCTCCTGCCCTTTCCATGTGTAGGGGGTGTTTGCCTTCTCCCACTTTCTCTCCCTCTTTTAATGCTGTTTCTTTTCTAAATGGAGGCTTAAGTCAGGCTTAGCAAAATTTAATCAGCCGTGTAAGGGAATTATCCAAGTCTCCATATCAGTTGATGGTGCCCTGGTGGTGAGGGCACAGGAGCTACGGGGGGATGTGCAGCTGCTCCAGTTTTCCAGGATGCCCTGGGAGTGCAGCCAGCTCTACTTCCCTGTTTGCTCAGAGTAAATTGGTCCAGGTTGCTTAGAGCAGGCTTTGAATATTCATAGGGGTCACCAGGTGGATCTGTGCTACAGCCCACACATCTTATATTGTTTTCCTCTGATAAGCAGAGGTGTCCTGGTGAAACCCTCTGTCCCAGTGCAGGATAGATCCCTGCTGTAAGAAAAGAGGAAGCAGTCTCAAGTTGTGCCAGAGGAAGTTTAGGTTGGATAAAAAGGAAAATTCCTTTCCTGAAAGGGTAATTAAGCATCGGAACAGAACGGTGGTAGAGTCATCATCTCTGAAGGAATTTAAAAGCTCTGTGGATGTGGCAGCTGGGGACATGGGTTAGTGGTGGCCTTAGGAGTGCTAGGGGAATGGTTGGACTCACTCATCTTGGAGGGTTTTTCCAGCCTTAATGATTCCATAATTGTAAACAGAAGGATCCAGCCTCTGGGGCTGTGGAACACCTTGCCAGGATCTGCTTCCCCAGAGCAGAGCTGTGAGGGACAGAAACTGTGGCTGCCCCATCCAAGGAAGTGCCCAAGGCTGGGTGGGACGGGATTTGGAGCAACTGGGATAGTGGAAGGTGTCCCTGCCCATGGCAGGGAGTGGGACAGGATGGGATTTAAGATGGATTTAAGATCCCATCCTGTGGTTCTCTGTGGAGGTGGCAGTGAGCTGTGTGTGAGCCCAGCACATGCGTGAAATCCAACCATTGTGTGGTTTTGTTTTTTATCTTTGTTCTCCCCAGGATAGAGAGGTCAACAGACCAGGTGATCAAGCCGGTGAACATGGAGGCGTTATCCAAGTGGATCGGGCACATCCCGGGGGATGTGCTGCAGGACATGGCCCACATCGCCCCCATGCTCGCCAGGCTGGGCTACGACCCCTACGCCAACCCCCCCAACTACGGCCACCCCGACCCCCTGGTTGTCAACAACACGCACAGAGTGAGTGGCACTGCCATGCAGGGGACAGGCCGGGGGCTCACTGAGCCCTCCGGAGCAAGGGAAGCTCCAGAGCCAGGTCGGGATGGAGCAGGGGGGGAAACAGATTCACACAGGGAAAACGGAATGACAGAATGACTGACAGAATGACAGAATGACAGAATTCCAGAGGCATTCAGGTTCGGAAAGGCCTCTCAGAACCATCAAATCCAAGCTGTGCCCAATCCTCCCCACCAGAGCACTGAGTGCCACATGGAGCATATTCTTGGACACCTCCAGGGATGGGGACTCCAAACCTCCCTGGGCAGCCCCTTCCAAAGCCTGACCACCCTTTCCATGAGGAAATTCCTCCTGGTGTCCAACCTGACCCTCCCCTGGCACAGTTTGATGCAGTTTCCTCTCCTCCTGTCCCTGTTCCCTGGGAGCAGAGCCTGACACCCCCGGCTGTCCCCTCCTGCCAGGAGCTGTGCAGAGCCACAAGGTCCCCCCTGAGCCTCCTTTTCCCCAGGCTGAGCCCCTTTCCCAGCTCCCTCAGCTGTTCCAGCCCCTTCCCCAGCTCTGTTCCCTTCCCTGGCCACACTCCAGCCCCTCCATGTCTGTTTTGGAGAGAAGGGCCCAGAGCAGGACAGAGCTCTCAAGGTGCAGCTTTTTCCCTGGGAAGGCTGGGAATGGCTGACAGCAGTGACCCAAAGGTGATTCCACTGCGCCAGGGGGTCACTCCAGGTTCTCTTTCCCACAGGTTTTAAAGGGGGATTATAAAACACCGGCCAATCTCAAAGGTCACCTGCAGGTAAGAGCACCCTGAGGGTTTGGGGGTTTGGGACACACCAGGGTGTCTGGTTGCTGCTGCCTTCCCTGGGGAATGCTGGCTCAGAGCTGACCCTTCTCTTCTGGGGCTCTTCCAGGTGACTCAGAACACGTCATCTTCTCACTAAGAAAATTAATGATTTCCAGGTAAGACCCTGTTGACTTAATTTTGGGATTTGGGCAAATCTGCCTGTGTTGCTCCAGGACTAGCACTTGGTTTGTGTGATTTCTGTGGATCTGCTGGGGTTCCAGGCACACTCCTGGTGCCAGGGATCCCTCACAGTCGCCTCAGATCTTCCCACACAATGCTGCTGTGTGGGACCAATTGTAAGGAATTCTTTTCCTGAGCTCTGGGAACAGGATTAAAGCTGCAAAATGAAACTCAGCCGCCTGGGAGGGTTATTGCAGCCCGTCCCCGCGGGCAGCAGGGACACATGGAATGTGTGGATGAGCTGAGCTGCTCCCCAGCTGCCTCCAAAGACGTGCCATGGACCTGAGGAAGGGGATAGAAAACAAAGGAAAACATGATGGAAAACAAAGCTGCTGCCTTGGGCTGCTGCTCCAGAGACAACTGTTGATGTGTTGGATGTTCTTCCTCCATGCTAAAGCATAAAATACCATTCTTGGTACTAAAACTGATCCTTTAAAAGCAACTTTCTGTGTACAAGCAGATGGCTGGGCTAGAAAAAGATCAGAAGCACTGAGGGAAGATCAGGAACTGTGTGTTCCCCTCTCCTGGGCTGAGAATTGGTTCCCTTCTGGCCATTTTTTCTGTCACAGGGGCTTTAAACCCTCAGTCAGGCCTTGCTGTGCTAGTCTGAGGGGATCCTGTTCTTGAGGGGATCCTGTTCTGAGGGGATTCTGAGGGATCCTGTTCCCGAGGGGATCCTGTTCTGAGCGGATCCTGTTCTGAGGGCATCCTGCCCCTGAAGGGATCCTGTTCCTAAGGGGATCCTGTTCCTAAGAGGGGATCCTGCCCCTGAGGGGACCCTGCTTCTGAAGGGCTCCTGCCCCTGAGGTGATCCTTCCCCTGAGGAGATCCTGCTCCTGACAGGATCCTCTTCCCGAGGAGATCCTTCCCTGAGGGGATCCTGCCCCTGAGGGGATCCTTCCCCTGAGGGGATCCTGCCCCTGAGGTCCTGTGTTCTGTCTCTTCCAGAACGCTGCCAGTGGCCTGTTGTTGCCCGAGAAGGACGAGTGTGCAGTGGGCCCGTGGAAATCTGTTCTCCAAGCATATTGCTTGCTCCTACTGTTGCCAAATGACTGCGCTCCAGGAATGTATTTGCATTTATTTGCAAAGGCCAAACGTGCTCCACGGCGGGAACATCCCCGGCCGGTCCCAGTGCTCTGTGGGGAATGCAGCTGTGGAAACCCGGGCTGGGGGGACGGCAGGAGATCACCTGTGCCGTGGCTGGAGAACTCCGTACATCGCGTTTGTGTCTCGTGATCCTGTTCCCCGTTCCCGGTGTGGGGAACAGCCCTCCCATCCCCGCTGTTCCGTATTCCTGGGATCGGGAAGAGCCACCCCGGTCCTGCTGTTCCCAACTCCCAGGGTCAGGAACAGCCCCCTGGCCCTGCAGAGCCTTTGTGGTGCGTGTGCCCTCCCCACAACCCCATCCCCGACCCTGCAGAGGCTATTGCAGAGTTAATATATGCCCCCCCTCCCCCCCCACCACCCAAGGTGTCGAACACCATTAAAGTGTTGATTTGATATTTAATATTTTAATTATTAATCGCGCGGGCTCCGCCTCCTCTACCCCGCCGGGCCACAGGGCGGCGCTAACGGCGCGGCCGCTCCGTTCCTGACGACTCCATGGTTTGGGGGCGGGGCTTGCGCGCTGCTGGAGCGGACCGGAAGTGAATGGGGCGCATCCGCTGTGGCGGCGCGGCCGGGGCCGGTGCTGGGGTCGGAGAGGGGACCTGGGGGTCCCGGGTCGGGAATTCCTGAGGGGGCTTGGAGTCCCGGGTCGGGATTTCCTGAGTGGGCCGGGCGTCCCGGGTCAGGAGTTCCTGAGGGGGCTTGGGGTCCCTGAGCGGGCTGGGGCATCGCAGCGGAGCCACCATGTCGATGTCGCACCTGTACGGCACGGACGGAGACGATGGCGTGGAGATGGAGAGCTTCGAAGTGTCGGACTGGGACCTGCAGAACGAATTCAACCCGCACCGTCAGCGACACCGCCAGACCAAGGAGGAGGCGACCTACGGCGTGTGGGCCGAGCGCGACTCGGACGAGGAGCGGCCCAGCTTCGGAGGGAAGCGGTACGGCCGGGCTGGGACCCCCCGCCCGCTTAGGGACCCCAGGAGCTGCGCGGTTCCCTGGATCTTCCTCGTTCGCTTGAGCTTCCCCCGTTCCCTGGAGCTTCTCCCCATTCCCTGGATCCTCCTCGTTCCCTGGAGCTCATCCATTCCCTGGATCCTCTCCGTTTCCTGGAGCTCCCCCCGGTTTCCTGGAGCTTCCCCCGTTTCTTGGAGCTTCCCCTCCTTCCCTGAATCCTCCTCGTTCCCTGGAGCTTCCCCATTCCCTGGAGCTTCCCCCCGTTTTCTGTAGCTCCCTCCCATTCTCTGGATCGTCCTCGTTCCCTGGAGCTCCCCTGTTCCCTGGAACTCCCCCTTGTTCCCTGTGTCTTTCCCGACTGTGAACACCCACCCGAGCAGCCCGGGCTGCCCTCAGGACCCCCTCACCTGTAGAGATTTTCCCTGTGCTCACTCCCTGCAGCGCAGGGGGGAGGATGGGGATTGCCTGGCAAAAGCAGGGTTAAGCAGCTCGACAGGCTTTAATATCGCATTTTTGGGGGGTGTAAGGCACAGCAGCCCCCGGGCTCCTGCAGGAATGAGCAGGATTCCCTCTCATTTTGCAGCTCCAGGGATTACTCGGCCCCCGTGAGCTTTGTGAGCGCTGGGCTGAGGAAGGCGGCGGCCGAGGAGCTCTCGAATGAGGACTCGGATGATGATGAGAAGCCTGTGAAGCAGGAGGAGATTCCCAAGGAGTTTGTGCCCAAGAAGTTGAAGACAGTGAGTTCTCCAGGAAATTTACTGTTCTCTGTTTCATGTTTATGAAATTCAGGCTGTGGTCAAGGGCAGTGAAGGTGTAATAGAGCACTAAAAAAGGGAGGAATAATTAAACCAGAGACCCAAATGTGTCGGTAAGGGAAGTGTGTGCTCTGGATCTTGTATCATTGATAAAACAAAAATCAAGATAATAAATCATTGGCACAACTGTATATTGATATAATCACTGTGTGTCCTTGGGAATCAGTCCTTTCATTTTTCTCAATATTCCCTTTGGTCAATGAGGTTTAAAGCAGAGAATTCCTGTGGTTTCCTGCCTTTCAGACACTTGATTTTTCTGCTTTCACAGAACAGACAAATCCAGGCATGTTATAGATTAAAACTCAAAGACCCTTATTTTCAATTAAAACCTGAAAGAATCAGGAATCAGCTTCAGCTAAATCTGGTGGTGGAACCTGAGAACTGTCAGGTTGTCAGCCAGAGTTTTTTCAGGATTTTCCTTTCCTATCTGAGGAATTTCAGGGATCTCCACAGGTCCTTCATGGATGCACAAGCGAGGTTCCAGTGAGCTGGGCAGTGTGGGAAGAACCTTCTGAGGGGAGTTTTGCACACTTTGGTTATTTGAAGCCTGTGTTTGTTTTTGACAGGGTGGAAATTTCAAGCCCAGCCAGAAAGGCTTCGTAGGAGGCTCCAAGTCCTTTGTGGATTTTGGCAGCTGGGAGAGACACACTAAAGGCATTGGGCAGAAGCTTCTCCAGAAGATGGGATATGTCCCTGGAAGGGGTCTGGGGAAGAATGCTCAAGGTATTGTCAGTGTGTTTGGTGGTTTATTATTGTTAACTGGGGATTTGGGGGAGAGGTTGGATTCCTTAAAGAACTGCCTGTCCCAGGCGGCTTAAACTTCCTTCTTGTTTTCCTGCCAGTGATCCGGGCCCTGTGGTGAGAGTCAGGGGTGTTCAAACTGACCTGTGGTCATTTGCAAGAGAAAAAGAGCAAGAAGAAAGGCAGTAAATTCCAAAGGTGGTCATCCCACAGGAAAGGAGATGCTGTTTTACGTGGCAGAATAAAAAGGCAGTGAAATGTGGCTGGGAGTAGGGCTGTGCTTTGGCAGTTTGGTGTGTGCTGAGATGAAATGATTTTACAGGGAATTTTTACAGGGAATTGGTGATGTTGGAAGCACTACAGTGCTGGAGGCAGTGCCAGGGAGGGCGTTGGTGCTGATCTGGTAACTCACAGGGAAAGCCTAGCTGTTCAGCTCTCTCCCAGCACACAAAGTGCTCCTGCTGACCCCATTCCCATCCTGCCAGGAATCATCAACCCCATCGAGGCCAAGCAGAGGAAAGGCAAAGGTGCTGTGGGCGCTTATGGCTCCGAGAGGACCACGCAGTCCTTGCAGGACTTCCCTGTGGTGGACTCAGAAGAGGAAACTGAGGAGGTATTTCTGGGGTTCTTGCTGTTTCCCTGCTGTTCTGTGTGCAAAATTCAGTTTTCTTAATTTCTGTGTCAGAGAAAACTGTTTGGGCTCATTGTAGATAAGAATCCAAACACAGAGCATGTTGATTTCATTTAGGCAGATCTTCCTTGTCACTATAATGTTCTTTGTTGTTTCTGGCTCACTCTATTTCAGTAGCTTTGCTAGAATCCCTCCTTTGAGGAGTCCCCCACATAAATAGTCTTTGTCTTTTGTTTTAATAAAAAAAAAGACCAGGAACATCCTGTTCATTTAATCCATAGGGTGGGTGACTGGCCCACAGCATCCAAGCTGGCTTGGCATGAGCTTTTCCACTTCCCATTTATTTCCTGTACAAATTCCTCATTGATCTGATTATATCTGATTATTATCTGATCAGGTTATTTTCCTGTAAAAAGAGGCAGATTTAGGGTGTGACAAAGAGCAGGCACCTCAACTCTGCTGTTTTTGTCCAGGAGTTTCAGAAGGAGCTCAGCCAGTGGCGGAAGGACCCGAACGGAGGCAAGAAAAAGCCCAAGTACAGCTACAAAACAGTGGAAGAGCTGAAAGCCAAAGGCAGGATCAGCAAGCAGCTTGCAGCCCCTCAGAAGGAGCTGTCCCAGGTCAAGGTGAGGTTGATAAGCCAAGAGGTGACCCCTGAGGAGCAGTTTGGGCCCTTTGGTGTCACCAGCACATTTTAGGCACCGGTAACCTCAGTAAAGCCAGTCCTAGGAACTGCCTGTGCAGCCTCATGGAACTCATTCCTGAGCCATATAACAGCTCTGTGTCACCTGGATGTGGTGACAGATTAAATGTCACTGTGTGTAGGGGGTTAATTGCAATTTAAGTTTAGTTGTTTCACATTTGTCATAATCAACACTCACCCACTTCTGAAAGCACAGTTGTCCTTTTTGGGATTGTTTGAACCATCTTCTACCTCAAAGGGACAGTAAGGGAACTCAATAAAATGATGAATCTGATATTAAAGTATCTTTATAAAATTATAAAAGTTTTAAGTGCAGTAACCAATGGCCAGATCACTGCTTGTAGAATCATTCAGTGAAACTGGGATGAGGTGAGGAGATTCTTATGGCTCTGATTCCAGATTGTCTCTTACTTGTTGTAACTCCTTGTGTGTGGAGAAGGCCATTGTGAAAGCAATCCCCTTGTTCAAATACAGTGTATGTTAGCAGCCTCCTGGAGTAATTAAGGTCCTTGGAAATCTCCAGATTTCAATTTGGAGTCAGGGATTTTCTCCTTTTGTGAAGCTGAAAGTTTTTTGTTAGAGAATTTCTGTTCTGTGTGCTGGCAGGTGATCGACATGACGGGCCGGGAGCAGAAGGTTTATTACAGCTACAGCCAGATCAGCCACAAGCACAACATCCCAGATGACAGCCCCCAGCAGCCCCTGGGCAAGGACTCCAAGCCCCAGGGCTTTGCCCTGCCCGAGCTGGAGCACAACCTGCAGCTGCTCATCGACATCACGGAGCAGGAGATCATCCAGAGCGACCGGCAGCTGCAGTACGAGAGGGACATGGTGGTCAACCTCAGCCACGAGATCCAGAAGATGGCTGAGGTGCTGTCCCACGAGGAGAAGGCCATCAGCAACCTCAGCAAGGTGCTGGACATGGTGGAAGAGTGTGAGAGGCGGATGCAGCCGGGCTGTGAGAACCCTCTGACCCTGGATGAGTGTGCAAAGATCTTTGAGACCCTGCAGGACAAGTACTACGAGGAGTACAGGATGTCAGACAGGGTGGACCTGGCAGTGGCCATAGTTTATCCCCTCATGAAGGAATACTTCAAGAACTGGGATCCCCTCAAGGTGTGTGTTGGTTTGAGTTATCTGCAGCTCTCACTTGATGGCTCCAGTAATCTTTGTTACCTTGTCCCCACTGTGGTCTAGTGGGAGGTGACCCTGCCCGTGGCAGGTGGCTCATCTCATGATGAACTTTAAGGTCCCTTCAAATCCAAACCAATCTGGGGTTCTGGGATTCTAAATTCCTGATCAGTCTGGAGAAAAAGAAAAGAGACAAAATGAAACTCTACTGTCCCCACTCTCAGACATTTGCTGGGTAAAAATTTAGGAGTTTGTAAGGCTAAAACACCTAAATTTTAAAAACCTAACACCTAAATTTTTTAAAACCTAAAACACTTAAATTTTAAAACACCTAAAACACCAACACCCTTTTATGAGTGTTGGGATGAAAAAATTGGTGAAAAATCTCTAGCTGTTGTTTTCTAGCAAAAGCAGGAGAGATT